AGGCAGTCAACCCACCGGTTCTTAAGCTGAGTCTTAGGAACCCATATTTTTGTGGGGATTCAAGCAAGGTTAGATGTCCGTCCCATTCAGGGATGATAGAAGGTCAACTGCTGACACAGTCGCATACAGTGTCTTGTTCAGGCTGCCTCCCGGAGGGTTTGAAGACACACTTCCCGGGATCCAAGGCAAGATTTCTATGTCTGAGTCTGTCTCTATTTTATCAGTTAGGTTTATGCGTGGATGAGGGGCTTTCCCTTTCCATCCAGGGCTGTGAGGGGGAGAAAGAGCTTGTGGGCTTAACTTGAGGGGAAACTGTGCAGTGGTGTACGTAGGTTCTGCCCAGCCTTGGGCAGCGAACATTGCGTTCTCAATCCCTCCGCCTGAGAACGGGTAGGTTACTGCGAGGATTTTGCAACGGATCGCGCTTCGCCAAAGCAGCCTCCAGTCACGTCAGCATCTCCATGTGGAGATGGGAAACTTCACTAAATCTATTCCGCGGAGGAGCTGTAGTTGCTAGACTTGAGGACTTTCAGCAAAAGGATAGTTCAAGCACTGGTAGCAAAGGTGAGCTGCTATGGCTAAATTGATGATGTTTGTTCCGCTGCCCGACGCCATGCTTCACAGGTCCCACCACATAATTACAGGACTCGGGGTACAAAGTGGGTTATACATTCCTGTTCGACCATCACGAGGGCCTGGCATCCTGAACCCTGGAATCCATGAGCCAAACCTGTTGGGGGACCTGTGAATGGTCAGACCAAAAGCCGAAGCACTTCCCTTGGAAGCGGTGACCATTCAGGCGCTGGCCTCCTGCGATGAAAGCAGCAGCACCCTTCATGAAGATGGACCAGGAGACGCCATCTTTCTGACGAAGCTTATGACACCACCCAGAAACCTGGACAAGGCATCTTCAAACTGGACCAAGGGGCTTACATGCCCTGAACCCTTGTGCATTCCCTGCCATCACGTGGATACGGCCGCCCCCATGATATCGGAAATTAGGCAAGCGTAGTTACTTGATGAAACCCATTCAAGGTGGAGGTCTGATTGCGTCACGGCGTCTACGCGTACTCCACAGCTGTGCCCGCTGTGCCTTCCGCCTGCTCAAGCTAAGCATACACATAAGTACGAAATTCCGAACCTAAATCCGGCGGTCTCCAACAAAATCCGGACCCTCAATAATTACTGTTTACCCTCTTCCCACAAGACTTGCCCGGAAGCTCAGCACGCAAAATCTTGGCACGGTGAATGAGGTCCGCACCGAATAGCTCTGCCATAGAGGATCGCTCCTGCACCGATCATGCTGGATAGAAAGCCACGCAAGATGACGTCTGTCGGGAAAGGGCCTCTGCGCTCCGCACGGACATGGCACCTGTTCTCTACTGACTACTACAAACTGATAATAGCCCTTAGCTACAATGGGTTGCACGGGCGTGTGCTTCTGCAAGCTAAAATCTTTTGCAAAAGCTAACTCAGTAGATGGTGATATCTAAAACCTTGCTGGTTCTTCAGGGAATCTCATGCAAAAGTCACTGATTTTCGAACAAGCTAGGTTATATGCTGTGTGCAAGCACCTGACACACTGAGTTTCGGATTGGAAGCTCATTGGGAAAAATCAGCCCTGAAACAATCCACACAGCTCAACCCCATCTTTGGCTCAGATTTGGCTTATCAGAGTTGAGTCCAGCTTGGAGTCCTAATCCTGATTTCAGAGGTGTCTGGGCTCAGGTGTCGCCTGCCCCTTAGACCCCAGTGCGTCAGCAGCGGCCATAGTCTGCTAGACCACGACGATCAAAACACGGCTGCTCATCATCTTTCAACTTGCTGTTCAGTACATGGAACAAATTTCCGTTTAGCAGCGGCCTATCCTCTTTCACTGCTGTTCGATTGGCCGACGGAGGTTAGATGAGCTGCGGGCGGAGAAGTGCCTGTCGCACAGGCATGCCATTCAGTGGGGGTCTACTTTTTGTGACTCTATATCTTCTCAGCGGCTGCTGGCTGAAGTTGTTGCCGTGTGCAGGGCAGCAGCGTGTTTCAGTACAACACGCGCAGGCAACTGGAAGAGCCCAGCTGGCACCGACGCGCCCGCAGATCACGTTCGCGTTCGCGAACCGCTTTGAGGGCTTGCTTGCAGGGATTTCCAATGAGACACGTAGAAGTACAAAAAGCTGCGTCCAATCTGCAGAATCATCACTCGCAGTCAGTGCTACCACAAAGGGCGCTGAACAAACTAGAGATCACAAGCAGCGGCATGGCGGCTTCGGGAAGTTCTGGTCGGCACTGCGGATATTGCAAGCGCGCAAATTCCTACAAGTCGAGCCACTGTGGACAGAGTGGTTGGGCTTGGTGGGACATGCCAGACCAAACAGCATGTAGCCGAACAATCAGCAGCACCCTGGAGGGCAACATCTCCGAGGCAGAGAGCGACGTCACCCAGGCAGCGAGGTTCCCGGAAATGTGGCGCAGCCAAGCACGGGGTGGACACGAACAAAGAGTCAAAAGGCAAGGGCAAGGGCACGGACAAGGGGCAACAGCTCCAAGCGCCAAGAATGCAATCACTGCCGCTTGCGCCCAAGACTGGCGTGCCATCGCTGCCAAGCGGGGCAGTCGGGGCGTCGACTCAAGGTGCAGCGGAAAACAGTTGGAAAGTCTACTCTTGGCGCTGCTGAAAAACTCTTCGGAACAGCCTTCCGGAATCAAGGAGCTACTGAAAGTGCCTGACGGAGTCGCTAACTGCACAGTTGAAAGAGCAGAAGAAGGCCCCGCAGGCCTTTCAGGTTGCGGAGGAATCTTGGGAACAGCAGTTGTCGGAAGCCACTGGAGAGCTGGCCAGGCTGGCTACTGAAAGCCAGCCAGACAAGAAAGGGCAGGTGGAGCCAATGGAGGCGGAAGAGATGAAGGCTGCCGAAGGCATTGTAGCGACGGCTGCGGAGCAGTCTCAAAAGGCCATGCAACAGCTCTTTGCACAACAGCAGGCGTTGCTGGAGGTAATGAATACAGCGAAGCAGAACGCGCAGGAGTTGGCAGCGAAAGTAAATAGAGAAGGATCCAGAACACCAAGGCGGCGAGGAAAGGTTGTCCAGGTGCCGTCCTCGCGAGAAGACGACAAGTTGGGTCCTGGCAAAGCCTGAGGGGAGGCCTCACGGGAAACCTCAGGCGTGGTGCACCAATGGAAACAATTTTGGACAACTGTCTTGATGGTGGGATGGTCTGGTCGCACTCGGTGTGTGGAGAGCTGGACTTTGATCTCCCTTTAAGGCCGCCTTCGAGGCAGCTAACCTACGACTTGAAATCATTCGGCAGAAAGGTCCATTTCCTCTCTGCAGCAGTTGGAGTGATCCGAGAATACTTCCCGATAGGGCTACTCCGAGAAGGAACAAGGTGGTGGAAATTCCAGCTGCCAAGCATGCTTTCCAGGCAGTTGCATGTGACCAGCCCCAAGTAGAGCAGGTTAATTGTGCTACTGTAGGTGGGCGCTCGCCCTGCCGTCGTCTTTGTGTTCGGAGGTTTGGAGCTTCAGATGGCATTCTCAAGAAAGGGCGTGCGTGCAGATCTAAACCGGGTTTCCGTTTTTGTGAGGATTGCCCTGAGCAGATGAACGGGCCGCCTGGAAACCATACAGCGTGGCCGAGTTTGGGGCAAGCCTCCATGAGGGCCGGGGCATGATGCAGTGCGCCCCGAACCCTCACATTTTTGAGATAGGTAGACACGAGTTTTGTGCACCATCAGCCCAAGCTGATGCAACCGATACCTTATGCTGTCAGCGAGGGGCCCTTTGGGGCGCAGCGAAGCTAGCCCGATTGAGATGCGTCTGGGCGGAGCCTGACAAGTTACCGAGGTAGAGAGCAATTGCAACGGAGCAGGGGACCCTTGGATCAAGCCAGTAGTGTCTGGTAGTCCTTGTGAGGTGATTCAGGATCTGGTGGCAGTTGCTGATCGGAGGCGCGTGCTGAGCCTTGCAGCTTGTCTGCCGGGCCTGGGTTCTTGTGGGACTTGCAGGTGGCTGAAGGTGAGTGGTTGAGAGCCGCTATGACATCGCTGGAACACGTGGTTGCTACACTTGGGCGTTCTTGAGAGCTTCCGGTTGAGGACGAGGCGTGCTTGTTTGAGTTGAAGTGCAAAGTTCAGCAGGGCAAGCAGCTGAAGGCGTACGGCCAGCAGGTTGTGGGTTCCAGACATCCAGGAGAGCAGGCCCGGGCCCTTGCACAGTTGATCAAACAGCATGAGTTGGAGGTTGGAGGGTATCATTGTAGTTCCTGTGGACTACGCTTTCTCAGTAAAGCTGCTTTGCATGCACAGAAAGCATACAGTAATAAGCTCGCGTTGAGAGCTTATGTTGCGGGTACTTGTTGTCAGAGTTGCGCTCGAGAGTATTGGACTACATCATGCATACAAGCACATATCCACAACGTGGATGCCTGCCATGGCAGATATCAGCATGCTGATCTCAGCCTCCCAGAAAAATTACGAGGTTTCTGGGTTAGGCGAAAGAGCCTGGAGGCCGGTGTGTGAGGTCAGTTTGGCTAAACCGTTCTGGGCGTCCTTGAGTCCAGGTGTTGAGCTTGATGCTGATGTTGCAGGGGGCGCGGCGACCACTGATGTTGACAATTGCTGTGAGGAAGGCTTTGCTGAGCTCCAGGTTCTGTTGAGGAGTGGATTGCACGGACTGTAGCATGGGCCGCTTCCAATGGAGTCCAGCACGAACGATTTCTTGCCAGTAAAGCTACCGCTCAAAGTGCAATTGCAGAACTGTGCTGTCAGTTGGCTTGTGCCAATTTCATGCCTGGTGCATATAACCAGGGCAGATGGATGGCTGTGATCCATGAGAGATTCATTGCTTTCCGTCAGGTGCTTTAGCAGTGCCTGTGCTTTGTGAATTCAAGAGCGCGACTCGACAGTCCATAGCCCCATATGAAAGATACAAGAAAGAATCCTGATTTCAGAAGCTGGAACAGGGACACAGAAACCCGAACACAGCCGCGATGTCCCTGTCCTGCACTTTAGCAGCACGAATTCCCTTTCCGGCTTCGACCTGTAGGTTGACAAGTACGATTTCCAGACTTTCTAGGAACAGGATTTACATCATGTCTAAGGGGATAAGGTAAGGCTGATTCTCAGATGCGATAAAGGATTTAGGGGTCCTCTGGCTAGTTTACACACACAGGTTGGCACCATTTCTATAAGGTACCCTCGAAGTCCTTATAATCTTTCGAGCATTCTGCGCGATCATTTCTAGAGATAATAATAGATGCTTATTCCAACCCCAAAAACCGTCGGGTCGGGCACTGACAACTCACAGTCCTATGTGTTGTCGTTATTCATGACGACAAACGGTATTAGCATGGCAGTAGTGATAGTAGCAATAGTCAGTGCAGTGCCAACAACAGCAGCAGTACTCTTGGACTTCCTCCCTTCCGTGCCACTGAGGCTTGCCTGGCCGTGCCGTGGGATAGTATCCTCGTTGAACCAATGAGTTCATCGCGCCATGTCCGTAGTAACCTCCTGCAAGACAGGAGCGGGTCGTAGTCACACTCCCCGGAATGCGACTATGGGCATGTGCCGAAAAACCGTGTGGATGCATTCTGCGCGGCAAACGCTCTGTTACATATCAGTTGAAACGCCAGCATGTTGCATGCCCGCTGTCACCCTCTTTCAAGGCTTCGATAAAAGGTCATGTTGGGGGGGGGTTGTCGCGAAACCCGGTCTCTGCTGAATAAGCTATGTAGCGGGTATGTAACGGGTGTGGCGTGCCCCCGGGCCTTGTACAAACGAATCACTTGGCTGCCAATATGTTAACAAAAAGGACAGCTTGCTCGGGCAACGGGATGTCATTGGGTTTTTGCATTCACAGAGATGCGCAGCCGACTATCGTGATTCAACATGAAAACGGCCAAGCGGATAGCAGCATTGGCACCTGGCGAGTAGAATGGCTGAACCTTCTGCTGTTGGTATCCTCAGCAACATGCACACCAGTGGTCGCGAATCTGTGTCCAGAATACTCCGCTTCATACAAAATTCGAGAGCACTCCTTAAGACACCTAACAGTTGATGTTTCTGCCATGAAGGCCCTACAATGTGAGCATCATACTGAGGCATCGGCCACCATGTCCGTACTGGCCGTGTGGCCCTTGCTGCGGATACCTCATCTGAAAGCCCAAGCAGGCTGTCACACTCACGGCAATATTTTCATGGGCGTAGACGACATCGTGAGAGAGCCCACGTAATCCCAGCTACTGACCTCTAGCCGATGCATGGAGGTTCAGCTAGCGGTGTCGGTTGAATGCGTAGAATCTGCCGCGTAGTGATTTCAAATCTGAGGGCGTGCGCCTTTATGTTCGTTACATCAACTTATGCTACGCAATACTGCTTGGGACGGCTTCTGCAACCTGCACCTGACTCAAAGTCTCATCACGGTATAGCCACGGTATAGCTACCCAACACCAGAATCCCAAGATAGCAAGCCCACACCTTAAACATCTCGGGCTCTCACCCAGGGCCCATGGAGCCAGCACCCGTGTGGAATGGATTCACTCCATAGCCTCTAGAGGATGGCGATGGTGACTAATTTGGGGAATCTGGGAGGTCTTAAGTTAGTTCCTGAAGTGGCTTTGGTGGGTTTTGAGCTATCGCCTGGCTTCTATCATCCATGTGGCAGCTGTCAATATCATGGTGGACTGCCACTCCACTCACCTCTGACAGGCTCACACTATCCTCCCAGAACCCCAAATCAAGAACATACTTGTCCCGGTGCCCACTTGGAACTTCCCTCCTTGCAAAAAAGGACACACGGGCACGTCTTGAGGCCGCCTACTTGGCCTCAGTATTCAGACAAATATTGAGTTCATTGAGAAAGATCCAGGAACAGTGCCCCAAGCCTCCATAGGTGCCGGAGCTCTGTCCTGCAATTAGGGACTTGCTAAACTATGGGCCCCTAACTTTGCGTGGCTCCCACGGGTCTCAAAATTCCAAGAATACTTTGTTGAAGATAAAGCATGAAGTAAGCCCCGCAAAACAAGATATGCCGATGATGAAAAATGTGACGACTATGGTAAACAGTAAGCGTAGGTAAAGGATTAAGCGTGAAGGTAGCAGGGTTAGGGGATGGGCTGGGCTCGCATATTTTCTGGTAGAATGATGGAGAGCTGGATCTCTTCCCTCGGGACAGCTTGCAGAAGAAATGGGCTAGGACTTCGACTTCCGAATCGAAGCTGGCCCTAACCCCTAAGCATTCATATAAATCAACAATGAAAACATTGACCCATGACGAACGGAACTCCTCCTCATTGACAATGGACTGCAAAAGAGGTGATAATATCAATTGCTTCCGGCTGCAGTGATACATTTTTATTTCTAGTTGCCCGAAAGCTGGCAAATGCTGACAGAAGTCGGAAGCACACGGAACAGAGCCATTCTTCATTCACAACGCACCGGAAGTTCGCAGGCCGCTGTGGTCCTGACCCCTTCCAGAACCCTGCCTAAGTTGCACATGCTATGCGATGTTGGCACGAGCAAGCTTCAACAAGCATTTGTGATTCTCTCGCCTTCCTTATCGATGCAGAAGTTCTGGCTGCCGTCAACGGGTCGGCCGGACGGCATCCCCAAGAGTTCCAAGGTCTCTTGCTCGTGCCCGCTCTACTTACTAGCAATCCAATGGAAATGCCCATGGGTTTGACACAAGCCCTGTTGGTTTCTGCTGTCAGTGAAAGAACGCTGCGCCGTTTTACTTGAACATATTTGCAGGGTTACTGGAAGTATAATACGCAGTTCGACATCCATTTAAAATACGACACAATACTGTCACAATACCATGAAACACCACAAATCTTGCAAGACCGGGTGCTAGCAAGCGATCTGAGGCCCTTAGCGTTCAACCGCAAAATTGTGAAGGACAGTTTTAGAAATTTTGAAATGAACACTAATCACTAATCTCCAACATGTTGGCCCTATTCCCATCACTGCCGCCAAAACCATGGGCAAAACCTGATTCCAAAGCCGACTTTGTTTTCCGTTCTTATCTCTTCCTCGCTGTGGAAAGGCCCCTGCTTTAAGTATAGGCTCACGTGGATACTACTTTTGTGAGTCAATTGGTCGTGCAGAGAGGGAGCGGGCAGGCAATTCGGCGTGCAGGGAGGGGGGAGAACTGGGCGTGGCACAGGACTGGGTACAACTAGCAGTCCTCCAGGCACAGGCATGGGAAAAGGGGCCCCCTTCGGTGACGGAGCCACCGGAATTGGGCCCATGCCAAGGGGAAAGTAGCCGTTCCTGAGTTCTCTCATCATGTGCGGCAAGTCTTGTCAATATCGCTATTCTTAGGCTCGCCCTTTTGATCCTACTTCTGCTGCTGCTGATGATGGCTGGCGATGACCACCATCATCACCTTCAGCTAATATAGTCTCATCCGTACAATTCATATGTCATCCACCTTTATATTCATTCTCACGTTCTATCTGATTCTCCACTATTCAAGATTGCACGTAGTGCGATCATCTAACTCTCTCGTTATACTGATAATTGGACTAATTACGCAATAGTAGCAGGCATCACCACAACAGCAATATAGCTGTCATGACAACATGAATCTGGACTGAGGGCCTTCAGGGTAAGAAGCTGAGGGTTGGATTCTGAGGATGAGGGTGGCGCTACCTGATATGGAAGCATAAATTATTAGCAATGTTGTGGTCCTAGATTCCGCGTACAATCATGGTATCGGGTACCTGAAACAGACCTCAAAATGACATCTGCAAGTACTGAGTCCCCTGCATTATATCCAAGTTGCCAGAATTCTTAGGGGCTGGCATCAACCGGAGTCCAGCGTCACGCGCCCCAAAGCAGGCCCCCAAATCCGAGACGCCTTGTGATCCCTAAGTCAGAAACCCCGCACCCACCAGCACAAGCCTTGAGATCAGACAAGGCTCTCCGTGGGGGCCATCCCCTGTGCGCCGACAAATACATCTCCCCTCTTAAGCTATAAGGCCCCAAAGGTACCCAATACATAGATTTGGGATGCTGCCCGTATACTTTTGGGTGTGACCTGGGGTTTGACTGGTTTGGTTTGCCTTCAATACAGCAGGAGCTCCTGCTTGTCTGTCTCTTTTCTGAGACCCTCGGAATTTGTCACCATGCAACCACCTGGCCTTGCTAGTGATATCGAGCGATGCATGCAACTTCCAACTACCGAAAGGGCAAGAACCACGCTAGGATGCTCGACTTGTATCAAAAGTGCCACTCTGAACTACTACTGCTGCTGATACTAGTACTAGCCCGAGTCGTGGTACCAGAAATCACATTTACTACTGATCATTGAAGGGTATGCGCGGCAGGACCTGCCTTGGGATCAGGGAAGTTGCCGTAGGGACCTGGGTTTGTTCCAGAAGCCAACAGCCAATTCTCCAAGGTCTCTGGAAGACAGTGTCTTCTGGTGGTTGAATTCTGTACAACATTTCGGGGACTGACAACCTACTGTACATCTCACTTCTATGGAGCTACCACAGACAGACTTCTCCAGTAAGTGCATCATCATCGTCAGACCCGGCTCATCAGTAATCTACCTTACGGAAGACTCTGGAACAACATTTCTGCTGCTCGCTCGTGTGCAGGCGCAAGTCTGCAATTGGGAAGCTTCGTGGCATGCAGCTATCGGGGCTCAGGACTGAGGATAGGTTCTGAAGTCGGATTTGAGTTTGAAGATGCTCATGTAGAGCAGAGGACGTGCTTGTCCATTGCAGAAGATTTGACCATGGAGCCCGTTGATAACATTTGCAACTCATGAGCCTTTCATGCATTACATGAAATTCTGGTCGAGGTAGTTGCACCGTAGTTGAATGGCTGAAGCTGCACTTCTGAATACCAACAAATACGTCCTAAAAGCAAAGAAGCTGGATGTTCAGTCTGGGCGTTTCACAATACACTTCTAAATATGGGGAGCCAGATTGAAGGCCTCCATCAAGCAAGCCAGCTCTCACTTTTCAACATGCCACTTTCCACATTCCGTCGTGCAGCTGAGCGGCTCTCTGGGACTTTGTCGCAGCAGGAAAAGCAAGCAGATCGCTCACTTCTTTTAATAGTTCCTGGCGATTTTTGGCTAGGTCTCCACCGTTTTGCTTCGACATCCGAATGCTTCTTGCGAAGATGATCATGCTTCTTTCCTCCAGGGCCTGCTCTTCAGAACACGTTGGACTTTCTGTGACCGTGGGCCAAACTCGAATGCCAAAATTCTGACTCTGCTGAGTTTGTCAGGATTCGACGGCCAAAATTGCACTTGAAGCGCAAGGGAGCTTGGCTGATACGATGTGTGCCTTTTGTGAAAGTTAAAGAACCTGAGACAATTCGTAGATACAGGCTTGCACGTTGCTCCATCGTGCTGGTGCATCTGTTTGATTTCGTGTTTCGCTTGGGCCTCACGCATGTGAACCCTGAGCCCCTTCAGGCTTTAACAAAGGTCTACAGCATTGTTCCAGCCACCCTAAAGGACCTTATAACCTGCAAACAAGATGCTCTAATAATCTCACGCTCGCTGCGGCTGAGCTCCCAATGTCAGGACGTACATGCTGGTGGGGGCATGAGATTTGGTGTTTTTTGGCAATGAGCTGCCTAGAATTGATTTCTGCAAATTGTACAGAGCTGCAAAAGTCGGCAAGGCTGCGATAACAGTACTGTATTCGGCAATAAATTCAAAGCTACCTCGTGGCAGAAGCTGGCCTCGCCCGTCCCCTTCCTGTTACTTGGCTGAAAGATGTTTTCTGTGGGCAGAAAGCACTAGAGCTCGTTGCAGCCAGAGATTCCGTACGGCAGCTGCTGTCGCATGCGCATCTCCTGCCAACTCCAAGTGGAAGTCCCTTTGACTTTGAATTCTTGCCGTTGTTCTTACTGGTCGTTTCAATTTTGCTGTCCGGATTTGGTGGGTTTCTGCGGTTGCTCTGGCGGGTTTTCGCCTGCGTTTTGCTTCCTCTGGCATGTTGCAGAAAATTGGGGGCGGCTAGCAGGCAAAAGTGGCCCAAACAACAAGAAAAAGTTGCCGTTGGAACTTCCAGGAATGTATATAATTATGACCTGGTCTCCTTGTACGAACCACGGCCTAGCCGTATTGCCCGAATGTTACGCACGCTCACTAGGCCTTGTCCAGTTAGGGGCCCATGCTCACACATTGCTGCGACAGCCTGCTGCGTTACACATGACAAGAAACATAACAAGTTTTGCACACGGTAGAATTCAGCATAGCAATCCACATGCTTTGCTTTTCCATTTGCCTTTCCCAAAAATCCGCTACGAATCTCAGGTCTCAACATGCTCCTGCAACTGGTACAAGTGACGGTAGTATGAAATCTTACTCAAAACTCCGCCATGGTCATGCTGCTCCTGCTCTGAGTACATGGCAGCAAGGGTCACAACGATGGCACAGAAACTTTATACACTCCGTCTATGCTGAGCCAAAAGATCTGCGCATGATCATGCTATTGTTCTTCGTCTAGAGAGTCGGCATCAGTAGTATCACTGAAAGAATGGTCCTGGTTCTGATCGCCATTTCCAGTCTCATTTGTGACTGCCAGTGTGTTCGTATGTTTGTCTTCTATGGAACTACAGTCTTGAAGCCCCCTCGAGAGAGAATGTGTTTGACAGCTAGGGCCGCCACCCCACATCTGCTTTGGAGGTACGAGGTTGGGACCCGGATTTGAATTTCATCAGGGTGGAGTGCTGGTATCCTTTAATCGCATGGTCGTGCACAATATAAAGAACGAAATTGTCCGCGAGCAGGGGCTCTGCGAAGAAGATGCGTCGCCGGAGCACTGCCGGGCGCGATCAAACGACACTTTCTTGACGGTTCATCAGCAGCTGAAAGGAAGGGCACGCAGTTTGCAACATTTCTTTATTTAAAGTCCCGAGGCAAGGATTTGCAGTTGGCGGTTCCCAAACAGTAGTGTCGATCAAGGCCATGCTTGAGGCCACGGCCTCCTTTGCCAAGCTTGAGCTGTTATAGTAGATTATACTATATTATAGTTTCTTGTAGTCTATTGTAATATTGTAGTGAACATGGCCGGAGGAGTCCACACGCGCCCTGCGTGAGGTACTAATTTTATAATGACGGCGGGAGTTATGGCGCTGCATCCTCGCGTCTATAGCACATCTTTCAGACCCTTCCAAATTCGCAATCGTGGCCCAAAGTATTTCATGTAGGACGCCCTAAAAAAACGCCCCCCCCTATGGCATATCCTATCTTTCCAATTTCGTTGGGCTTTTGCAGGGAACATATTTCCATCCTGGTAATGATAGATTTCCAAAAAAAAATACACCTTACCCGCAGGACTCCTAGGCATTTCCTAGACCTCCAATGTCAAAATTTTGGCCTTATAATCATTTTTGGGGGGTTGAGGGTCAATATTCTGGGTGTATTGGAGGCCTAGGTTCCCCCTCAGCCATAGCCGCTCTAGTCTACTATGTTTCATTACGGAAACCAACTGCTGAAAACTTGAAACTGCAATCATGGCCCAACTATTATAAACACCTTGGGCTCCAAAATATCTATGTTTGAATCCTTTTCGGCCCCACATCTATAAATGGGACCTTTCAGCTTATGGGATACTCCCCATATAAGGCACCCCTTCTGGATCCTACAGGGATTATTATTGCAACACATACCTCTTTATGTGACACCTTGCATGAATAATGACGAAACAACCAGGCACCGGCCGCGCATGCTACCAACTAATAGCGCGGGATACAGAATCAGAATGCAATGTACGTGAAAACAGCAGTGGATTGGCTCCATTTTTCAAGAATCCACAAGGCAGTCAGTTTTTCGCAGAAGATCAAATCGCATGTCTGTTGCTAAGAAGTTGGCAGCAGGAGGAGAGGTCCAGGCAGAACTTGCAATCAGGTTCTGGGTCTCCAAAAATTCGTTTCAGCACTACACGCTTTTTCAATTTGCACAGTGCTCATCTCATCGAGACGCATGCGTTCCAGAACATTGCTTTATAAGGATGTGGCAACCCAAGTTGAACCACTCCTATATCACTTACTTTTAAAAGCGCAACGCTCTTGGGCTTAGGCCCAACAAGCGGATGTCTTATTCCCGCTTCGGAATGAGGCTTTGGCGAAAGTTGAGAAAGAAACTTTATTCTCAAGTGCAGCCGGCAGTGCTTCAACTAAGAATGAAGGCAGCGTGGGAGATCTTGTTCACTCTCACACGCTTCAGCACAGCTCCGATTGAAGAAGCCAACAGAGATCGGTCTGAGCGTTTCGCTCCAGATGACATCTACTCCCTCATCAGGCTCAGGAATTCTTTGGAAGAGCCAGGGAGGACCAAGGCTAAAACGGGCTTGAAATCCGCTTGTAAGCATAGGAACATGCATGGCCCAGACCCGCACTATAGGATTGCCGCTGAAATTCCCTGCCCATCCGGAGCTCAGCGGAAGTTTCAAGATGGCTCAGGCAGCAGATATGGCGGAACAAGCCCATTTTAAGCCCATTTTCGCCTGCTGACTTTTAAGGTGAGAGAAAAGCCTCACCAGCGCTTGAAAGGTTTCCTGCGCAATTTCAAGGACTGGGACACGTGGCTGCAGCATCACACTGTGGAAGAAATCCAGCGCCCGCGTCACAGTTGAGTCCACAGCTTGCCAGAACAGTGTTTAACGCACGGCCACGCGGTAGCTGGCATTGAGATTTTAAAGCCCCTTCACCCACCATTTGAAAAGCTGGGTGAGGGTAACGCGTCGTCAGCCTTTTCCTTCCAAGCATGAATTTTTGAATCAAAACATGAAGATGTTTTGCGTCTGGAGGAAGAAGCAATCCTTCCCGCGCAGTCTTGATGAAGAATTCCGTGCCATTCTCTATCAACAATGGGAGGCGCATGTTCAGCCATTCAGCATTGAATTCTGAACCCAGGTTAAGGCGGAAGGAGGCTTCTGCAGCCCGAGATCTGTTGCACAGGGAATTTGCGGCGCATTGCGAAGATCATGAACCGAATCATCATCGTCTACTGTCCCCAGTTCTACTTTCAAGTACGGAGGGATCCTGATGCATTTGAAGAGATCACAGGATTCCAGGAGCAGTGGAACAAATGGGCGCTGGACCAGACTGCAGGCCAGGGAATCAACGCCAAAGGCTCCCTACGCCCTACCCTTCGGCTTCGTATTTTTAAAGCGCAAGAAACAATTCGAAAGGCAGGAAGATCATATCCTACTCCCGCAGTTGCACCAAGGACCTGCTCAAAGCAGCTGCAAACTCACGATAAGGCTCGTTTGGCCCGAAGCTTTGGGCTTGGCAACCACCCCTCAGAGTCGAGCCCACCTTTCCCAGATTAATGACGACTAAGTCGGGTTCTTTAATTCGGTACCCAGAGAGCAAATATTGCAGCCCCTCAGCCGCCTCATACAGATGTATGAGCAGCAGAAGAATCCATCCGAAATTTCTGTCTCCCTTCAAAAGCAGCCAAACTGTGAATGAGCTTGGCCAGGGAAGCCACATGAAGGAGGCGCTCTGTTCACATCAAGTTTTTGCATGCTTCAGATTCGAAAGACATCGTTGCTACGTCTTTCAAAGCCGGAGTTTTCACCATGCTAGGGCTAATGTTCCGACAGCATAGAGGCACGTGCATCGGCAATCAAATCAGCCCAGCGATGAGTAGCTTGCCAGTAACTCAAAGGGAATCGTGCTTTCAGCGAGAATGGAGCAAATCTTTAAGCTCTGCCAAGTACTTTGATATTCACCGCTTAGAAATGTTTGTATAGCCCTGTCGACAACCGACTTTTACTGTGTGATTCTTCAGCGCTCAAACATCAGTGTTTGCAAGATTTTCAGCACTTGCCGTTTTAAGGTGGGCACAATCCAACTAGGGAAGTGACCACTCATCAGACTCTTGGATTCAGACTCGACGCGGCTAATCATTCGGTCGAACACATTCAACCCAACAAAGCCTGGAGTATCAGAAACCCTCAGCGCCAGTAGCTGGGCTACACGAGCCTCGGGGTACTTTTAGCGTAGATCTCTGATTGTACAGCACACGTGGCCGCCCAGTAGCAGAACAGGTCAGGCACAAGCATTGAAATATCTGTACCTGACCAAAGGCTTTCCACCAAATGCGCTTGCTTGAAAAATCGCCTGACAAACAGCCAGGCAACCTGCACGTGAGTTAGCATTTTGCATGTTTTTCAACTTGCAGCGCCAACATTAGCAGCCTTCCTGTAAACTCTAGCACTGGCCCGAGTCTTTGTGTTGGAATTCAGCCAGGTCTTCTTCGTACATCTTTCAATTTTTCCGCGGCGATGGCAAAGCTGGAGCCCCCGTGTTCTAACCAAGCAACACACCGCCGGGCCTAAGGCAATTGCCAATCAAGCGCATCCGAGACCGAGGCCGTTTCTTGACGGCTTGTGCGTTCCGCGCTTCGACCGCAACACCGTCAGTTTGGGAACCTTTTGCCGACACTGCTAGTGAGATTTGCTACTACACAGATGCTTGACATCGGCACTTCAGCGCAGCCCACGGACTTCACTTGGACAGCCTGCGCACACCCTTCGCAAGAACGGCCGGTCATCAACGACGCGGCGAAGCGACAGACACCGCGCCACCATGATGCAATTTAAACGTGCCGCCTGGGCCTCGTCCACACAAATCAGAGGAAACTAGCGGAAACTAGAACTGCCTCGCCGCTCGCCTACTTCCGAATTCCGAAATGTATCTGGCCTCAAGCGGCGTCTACAAATTTCCTGGCGGCTTCACGCGCTGGACGGAGTCGGCGGATATGAGCGACTGTTTCTACCGCTTACCACGCAATGAAGCCCCCAAAGTTTGGCAGCGTGTTGCAAACATTTGGCGGGGACAAGGGGGGTCTTTCATTACAGTACCTAAAAGACCTGGCAATGGCCAAGTTGGTGAAATTTGAACTCCCGCAGCATGTCAACATGTCATTTGACAATGTGATTCTTGTTTTGAAGGGCTGTCTACTTACAAATTATGTTTCACTTCCAAGACGCGTGGGCAAGGAGCTTAGGGGCGCCCCAATGGGTGACTGAGCAGCTGGGCGGCGCCATCTTCCGCTTGCTCAAATTTTCTCGAGAGAGCTGTCCAACTCCTGGCGCGCACGGTTACGCTGGAACTTGCGCAAAGCTCGTTGCTCAACTGCACGGCGACACACTCGTGGTTTTTGATGTTTCCTTTCGTGATGATCTTCGTTCGCTCTGCGCATGGGCAAAGTTGTCCATTCTGCTTTTAGACCAAGTCCGAGAGTGGGCCAATCGCCTCACGAGGGAACCATACTAAGTGGAACCCTGAGCCTAGCGCGAAATGCTCATACCTTCGTTGGCCTCACAACGCGAGGCCCTAACTCCCAACTTCGTAAATGATTCTGCGCCAGACTGCCAAAGGTCGCTGAAACTTTG